ATGTTGCCCGAGCCTTCTTTATGCATTGTTTATTTAAACCGGATTGTCGTGAACATTCAAATGTTAACCCGTGCTTGAATCTTAATGCATAACCACCAACCGCTCTCCTATCTGACCTCTGAACTTAACAGTCGCCGAAAACATTTCCCTAATTGTTTGTTATCAGCGGTGACAGGGTGTCGCGGGTGTCTCCCTGAAGTTTGAACCAAGAATGATACAGACACATCTGTAAAAATAGCTAAAACACTGGACACACGTATTTCTTCAAGTCGGTCACGACCGCCTCCGTGGTCTAGTGGTAGAGCGTCCGCCCGGAGAGCGGAAGGTCCGGGGTTCGATCCCCGACAGCGTCATAAAAGACGTTAACAGATGGTACTTGTTGTTACCCTGTCTGGCATTAAGGGGCTAAAACAAGGACCGGTCGGTTCGGAGTCAGTATACTGTGTCTGAGTGGGGTATTCATGTTAAACTGCGGCATGGTATCTCAGTGAGCTAGCACTATAAATCGGCATCAGTCCGGACTAGTACAAGCAGCCTAACAAACACATACACGTTCATGCACATCGTTACGCGACGTTAAACCCATTTTAACCCCACCTCAAGTCGGTCACAGCTATGGCCCTCACAACCAAAAATCCGTTTCACTCATACCTCCCGTTTGGCGAACAACAGATTGGTTAAACACGTAGGGTGAGATATATTAAACCATTTGGTGAACACCCGGTGTCATTGAAACGTTACAATCTTCTTGAAGGTTCGTGTTTGTGAATTTGTCTCGCTGACATTATGAGGACGGATGTGCCAGTGACATTTAATACGCCAAAGGTATCATTGTTTTAATTCAATAATTCATATAACACAAGAAGGGGATTGCGGGGTTGAGACATGAAGAAAATGAGAAAGATAATTATATTTCCTTAAACGTTTTGTTATTTTGAAGGGGTGTGAGAAATTTAGCCCGACCTAGTGTGACAGGGACAATGTCTATTTCAAAGGGAATAAATCCAAAACAATACTAGTATATCAAAGGAAATTATTCTTTGTGGGTATAAATGTAGAATAACAATAAATACATAGCATTGATATTGGTAACAAAAAAATATATATCTAATCAATTATAAATAAAACATAATACGATAAGTCTAACTAAGCAAGCAGGAGCAAAGGGAATTTTATCAGCTGACTGTCAATTGCAAAATTAAAATTTCATTATATATTTTTTTACTTTGTTTACTTAACATATGAAATATTAGTAAATGGTAGTCAAGGTGTCATCTACTCTAATTAACTATGTACATATACACACGTGTGAAACAAATTCATCGAAAATAGTATTAGATATGCGTACTTTAGTTCAAAATAAGGATAAATATAGATTGATTATTTCATCACGAAGGTGATGCGTGCTGTCAAAAACTAAACCTGTACCAGACTGATAATAGTACAACTTAATTGGTAAACCCTTGATCATATCACAGGCAAAGGGCAATTATATTATTCAAATTAACGTAACGCTTCCATCCGACGTATCTGACGTCAGGCTCTGTTAGGCGTTTAGCTACGGTAAGACCTGACCCCAGCGTGGTGAATCCGTTAGAGTACAGCTCTATTGTGAGCTAGGGAAGATCAGCTACGTGACGTAATCCGATTGAGCCCGACATTTAAGCAAGAAGGATTTGTTTACTCAAACATGTTTGACTGGATGTGTGCTTTTAGTTGACGGGATGGTTAGAGAGTGTGTTTATTTAGATCAATCTAAGGATGAAGGTGTATGTATATTCGACATTAATAATATGCAATGGCTTTTTTTTGTTTATCACCCTTGTATATCACAATTCCCGTATTTGCAATGGGTTATAAATTAATAATAATTAGTGTTTTTCGGTGTTTAGCGTAATTTAGGTAGTCAGAACACGTAGCTGCTGACGACAAATATACTGACGGAATTATAAAGGAACACGTAGCAGGGTGAAGGCGAAAGAGAAAGCTGAGAGAGACTTGGTTTACACTGACGCGTTGCACATACCGACCTTAGAAAGCCGGTATTAACTGTTAAGCTGATCATTCAAAACACATTTAACATAATCACTTGAACACGGGACATGTTCACTGAGACCTCGTAGCGTTTATCGATCTACGACAAGAGGAGTAAATTGATATTCTCCGTCGGTAGACGCGTTTCCGACCTGTGTTAAAATTTAACTATTATTGGCTTATCAGTCCTCATATTTCTATACGTCACAATAACAAAAACCATGGAAACGAGAGAGTAACTACACAAAGTGCCACTACAAGTCAATATTTAATTAATTTTAAATAAAATTGGAAAAATGTTCTTTTACGGTTTTCACAATTGATAACAGTAAATTGAGAACTGACTTTTGAATTTGCATGAATGTCTATAACGCTTGGACATATATGATGTTGCAGTGATCACTTTACACCGGAAAGACGCAGAATAAATCCATGTTAAGGAGTGTGAATTATATAAGGACTTCGGTGGACACCTTGCGCCAAGTCAATTGCGTGTATGACCTTGGTCAAGGCAAGTCATCTTATTGATTTGTGTAGGCCTTTTCTACTACCTTTAATTGTTGTACGCTATACACATCATCCGTAAATGTTAACATTTAATCTATAATTAATCAGTAGGATTATACCTTAGTGTTCATTAACAGCACGCTTGGCATATACATTTCATTAATTGAAACTACTGGGCAAAAGAAACTGTGCACTTGGAAACTGGATTTGGCACCAATTACAAACGTTATAAAAACGTTACTAGAATGAAAACAGTCGCCGTAACACTGCAAACTTTAGATACATGACATAACATGGCTGACCCTATCAAATATGTTTTATTGCCATCAGACTTGGGTGTATGCTTGTTGCCCAGGAGTTTACTACCATACCTATCTCAAGACCCATGAGTATCCGGGGTAGAATAGGTCCTCAGCAACTTCAACATGTCGATTAAAGGATCGGGTGGTCAGACTTGGTTGATGCATGTCATCGTATCCCACTTGCGTGGATCTATCCTTCATGATGTCAATCACATGATTGTCTGGTCCATACTCGTTCTTTTACAGACTATTGTTGAGTTCCGCATCAAACAGACAAAACCTCAAACTCGAGTTATATTGTGTTGTGTATTGGAATAAAATGGTCTCCTAATAGATTTAAATACGAACCTGTGATATAATATTGTCATGTTACATTCCTTTGTCGACAGGTTTTTATAAAATATATATACACGGTGGTTTGAGAGATATAGACATAATCTTACCATATTTCTTAAGTTTAAGGAAACTCTTTAACCGAAAATGAATGTGCATGCGCCATCTTGTTTTACAATAATGAAAGAACGTTCAACTTAGAATGTTTAGTTAGCATGTGTACATAGTCAGCGACACCATAATGAAAACAAACACAAGAGAAGTAAACACGGATTGCGGTATGCATTAAAAGTGTGAATGTCGTGATCTGCTCTTCACAGATTCTGTTAGGGCATTTACGCAGAGAGCATCGATTTGATATCCAGATGTTGCAAGGTGACATGTGTAGTCTAATAGCCCCTAGGCAGGTACTTGCCGCAAGAGTGATGTCATTTTAAGCATTTGTTGGTTCAAACTTTCAATACTCAAGGATCTTCATTCCGGGGCAAATGCTTTGGTATTGACCGATATTGACAATTATCGAAATTAATGTCAGATTGTATGTACCTCACATTTCAAATTGTACCAAAAATGAAATGGAGATTAAAGGGGGTATTCGTTCACGTTAGTTCGATTATATTTGCACTGGTCTTATCACAAGCTTACTATTAATTTGGTAGTATTTACAAACGTTTAATATTAAGGTTTCACAGGTGGCTGATATGGGACTTGTCTTTGTTGTGTCAGTCGGGCGGATATGTTCCACCAAGAATGTTGACGCAGCCGTCACATGAAGGTGTTCCTAGAGAAATATGTTCTTCGTTATTGTCGCCTATTTTCTGGCGGTTGGCACTGGTTAAATGTCAACGTAATTTAATCACATTTGTATATTTACAATAATGAAGCAAATAAGTACTTTATGTGTGTTATCTAACTGTAATATCGTGTTCCATGTCGGGAAAGAGATAATGTACGATGGTGTACTAGTCACATACTTTGATTTAAGATGAGGTGAATGTGTGTGTGTGTGTGTGTGTGTTTCTTGTATTAGTCCGGACTTTTGCCGGTTTCATAGTCCTCGCCAACTGATTGACCATGTCGAAGTTTAACATGGAAAACAAATAGTATGCTCTGACCGCCTCCATGGTCTTGTGGTAGAGCGTCCGCCCTGGCAGCGGAAGGTTCGGGGTTCGATCCCCAGCCGCGTCATACCAAAAGACGTTAAAAGATGGTACATGTGCTTGTTGTTACCCTGTCTTGCGCTCGGCATTAAGGGACTAAAACAAGGACTGGTCGGCTCGGAGTCAGTATACTGTGTCTGAGTGGGGTATTCATGTTAAACTGCGGCATGGTATCTCAGTGCGCTATCACTATCAATCGGCATCATGATCAGTCCGGACTAGTACAAGCAGCCACACACACACACACACATACACGTGCATGCACGTCGCTATATAAGTGCAATGATCTTGGACGCGACGTTAAAGCCCATTTCACCTCACCTCACAGTACGCTCTGACTCCAAAGCGACCGGTCCTTGTTTGTCGTTCGCCAAGCGGAGTAACTACAAATACCGTATGTTAACATCTCGTTGTAAGACGCTATCATGGCAAATTTGATTCAAGCACCTAAAATGTCTGTTTCACCCTCAATGTATATTTTGATTGAATAATATGTAAATGAACGTTACCTTATTTATTTAGATAAATACATTAAATGATTGTTTATAATGGCCCCGACCATTCAGGATACAATGACGAAATGTTGCAATACTGCTTGCCGTTTCTGTGTATTGTATCTGTTGATATGTGTTTATATGCTTTGTAACATATTCCTCTGTTTCAGGAGGTTGGACATACAACGGTACACTAGGTGAGTATATATCTTACATTTTACTTCAACACCGCGATTGACTATTTAGGGTGCGTGACAATACTGATTAAATGAAGCAAATGTTTAACCCTCTCAAGAACAAGTTGTTTTGCAACGTCGTGGCATATATACTCACCGCTAACAGAAACACGAATACCATACATGATGGTTGATATATGAAGACTTACTCATGTTCAAGAGGTATTAGACTGGTTCGATGCTCAAACGAACATACTGGTATGTTTTGTGAAACGATGCTCATGAACGCATCACACGCATCGAAATGTAGGATTAGCTGCAAAGTTTGGAAATCACGTGAAGCACATCGTGATAAGATTATGGACACTATATGGTAACACATGACTGAATTTTAATTTTTGTCAATAGTTGTTACACATTGGAAACATTTCTTCTTAACGTACATACTTCTTTATATGTTTATAGAGTTAGCGTTTCTTTGGCGGTGAGTATACGTGAAGCGATCCTACTCTACATCTCCTCAAAACAGTTGTTCTTTCAGTGTTACATGCAAGTTTACATAACTACGATACGAATGGATACAATGGCGGTAGTGATGGTGTGTGTGTGGGTGATCGATCGGCAGCAATTCTTTTATGAATCGATATGTAGGTTATCGATGTATTCATACGCACGTTTGTTTTGTGTGAAAAGGTTTAACATATTTAAAAGTAGTTTCGTAGCAAAAAGGATATGTTTTTTTACCATTCAGAATCAAGCATTCTTCAATGGTAACGAATAATATTTATTAGTTAGCTTTGTGTGCATGTGAGCGTTCCCAGTAATAATCGCCAGGAAAGTGGGATGTCTGGATTAGCAGAGTCCGGACTCACGAGGTTTCCGAGACACCAAGAGTCAGGAAAGTTACAAGTGTCAAATTTTATTAATTTAACTTTTACATATCGTGATGTATACAAGATATAACACAATGCGTATATGCATCAGCTGTATTGGCGAGTTTGATGATACATAATGATAGCTAATCATAAACATTATCTCGGCCATGTCTGCGTTAGAAGCGTATTGCCATTTAAAACGCGGATATTCTACATAAAGTATGACATTAAATTCAGTTAGGTAGAAAAATGTTCCCTTTATGAAATTATATCCAGACACATATGTTATCTGTACCTTATCTATACCTTATCTATACATAATATATCTATTTTCTCTATACATTATCCAGACACATATGTTACCTGTACCTTATCTATACCTTATCTATGCCTTTTATATCTTTTATCTCTGTACATTATCTGTGCATTTTCTATCTATACAATATGTATACGTTATCTTTGCAATCCATCCATGCCTTATCTCAACCTTATCTGCAATATATCTATGAAACAGAACCTTCACCATGTGTAGCTGTAGACATTTATATGTATACTAAAATAGCTTTTGTCTGAATACTTAACTTTATTTCAGAGAGTCATGTTTGCCTGAACACCAACCCATTCTGTGGTGAATCAATTAGTGACATAGGTGTATCATTTTCTATTGACATATTCATGCTGTAATGAGTTAAGACTGCTTTATATTACCCATTAGGGAAGAATGATATTTTCAAATGTGCATTTTACGGAATATCACACAACGTCACAGTGCTTCATTGTTTAGAAAAATGCATTCATTTATTCGTGACGTCACACCTTACGTCAACTCATCAATAGTCTGCCGTCGGTTATTTTGCATTTCCTGTCTTGAAATGTAAAGTGGTCATTTATACCTTAATCGAAAACTCAGATTATCCGCCCCTCATGAATGGAAGGTTCCTCGCCAAAGGCTCGGGATTAACACTTTTCATTCACTTGGAACAGATATCCGTAATTCCGAGTAGCTCTTTGGTTATTCTCTAAATCTCCCCGGCGTACATTGCCATTATCCGTATATAATTATCTTTGAAATTCTTCTGTTCTCCCCCAAAACGTTATCCTATAAAATATGTGTCCATTCATCTTCCGTAAATATAGGCAATGACCATCAATATTAAATAATGCAATATCTCTGTACATATCAAACTAACTGTGTACATATTTTGTTGTAAGGGAATGCACGTGGGTCTGTGGTCTACATTCATACGAAATAAACACAAGACATGCTGCACAATATGTAGTGACTTAGAGAGTGATATGTTACTAAAGACAAAACTTATGTTAGAGAGTATTATATAGGGAGTTTATAGGCAACCTGCATCAAGTGAGATACAAAGTTTAACACCAAACTACCTCAGTGAGATATTGGCATTGAGTCATATGAAGTGATGGATGGGTGAGTCATATGAAGTGATGCATGAGTGAACCATATGAAGTGATGCATGAGTGAGCCATATGAAGTGATGCATGAGTGAACCATATGAAGTGATGCGTGAGTGAGCCATATGAAGTGATGCATGAGTGAGCCATATGAAGTGATGCATGAGTGAGCCATTTGAAGTGATGCATGACTGAACCATATGAAGTGATGCATGACTGAGCCATATGAAGTGATGCATGACTGGGTCATATGAAGTGATGCATGAATGAGCCATATGAAGTGATGCATGACTGGGTCATATGAAGTGATGCATGACTGAACCATATGAAGTGATGCATGACTGAGCCATATGAAGTGATGCATGACTGAGCCATATGAAGTGATGCATGAATGAGCCATATGAAATGATGCATGACTGAGCCATATGAAGTGATGCATGACTGGGTCATATGAAGTGATGCATGAATGAGCCATATGAAGTGATGCATGACTGAGCAATATGAAGTGATGCATGACTGAGCCATATGAAGTGATGCATGACTGGGCCATATGAAGTGATGCATAAGTGAGCCATATGAAGTGATGCATGAATGAGCCATATGAAGTGATGCATGACTGAGCCATATAAAGTGATGAATTGACTCAGTCATATGAAGTGATGCATGACTGAGCCATAAGAAGTGATGTATGACTGGGCCATATGAAGTGATGCATGACTGAGCCATATGAAACGATGCATGAGTGAGCCATAAGAAGTGATGCGTGAGTGAGCCATATGAAGTGATGCATGAGTGAGCCATATGAAGTGATGAGTGAGTGAACCATATGAAGTGATGAATGAGTGAGCCATATGAAGTGATGCATGAGTGAGTATTTGACAGTGTATGAGTGAGCCATGTGCGATGCGTCGGTGTGTCATGAGATGCATGAGTGAGTAATATGAGATGCATGAGTAAGTCATGTGAGAGGGAATTAGTGAGTAATATGAGATGAATGAGTAATATGAGATGCATGAATGAGTGATATGAGATGAATAAGTGAGTGATATGGGATGAATGAGTGAGTTATATGAGAGGAATGAGTGAGTCATATGAGATGTGTGAGTGAGTAATATGAGATGTGTGAGTGAGTCATATGAGATGTGTGAGTGAGTCATATGAGATGTGTGAGTGAGTCATATTGGATGAATGAGTGAGTAAAATGGATGAATTAGTGAGTTATATGAGAGGAATGAGTGAGTCATATGAGATGTTTGAGTGAGTCATATGAGATGTGTGAGTGAGTCATATGAGATGTGTGAGTGAGTCATATGAGATGAATGAGTGAGTAATATGAGATGAATGAGTGAGTCATATGAGATGTGTGAGTGAGTCATATTGGATGAATGAGTGAGTAAAATGGATGAATTAGTGAGTAATATGAGAGGAATGAGTGAGTAATATGAGATGAATGAGTGAGTCATATGAGATGTGTGAGTGAGTCATATGAGATGTGTGAGTGAGTCATATGAGATGTGTGAGTGAGTCATATGAGATGAATGAGTGAGTCATATGAGATGTGTGAGTGAGTCATATGAGATGTGTGAGTGAGTCATACGAGATGAATGAGTGAGTCATATGAGATGTGTGAGTGAGTCATATTGGATGAATGAGTGAGTAAAATGGATGAATTAGTGAGTAATATGAAATGAATGAGTGAGTCATATGAGATGTGTGAGTGAGTCATATGAGATGAATGAGTGAGTCATATGAGATGTGTGAGTGAGTAATATGGGATGAATGAGTGAGTAAAATGGATGAATTAGTGAGTAATATGAGAGGAATGAGTGAGTCATATGATATGTGTGAGTGAGTAATATGAGATGAATGAGTGGGTACTATGAGATGTGTGAGTGAGTAATATGAGATGCATGAGTGAGTAATATGAGATGCATGAGTGAGTAATATGAGATGCATGAGTGAGTAATATGAGATGCATGAGTGAGTCATATCAGAAAGTGTATAGGATTGTATTTTGGTGAGTGACACCTAATCACCCATCAGCTTCAACTGTATTATTGGACCGCCTCCGTGGTCTTGTGGTAGAGCGTCCGCCCGGAGAGTGGAAGGTTCGGGATTCGATCCCCGGCCGCGTCATACAGAGGAATGAGTGAGTCATATGAGATGTGTGAGTGTGTGAAATGAGATGAATGAGTGAGTAATATGCTATGCATGAGTGAGTAATATGAGATGAATGAGTGAGTAACATGAGTTCGATCCCCGGCCGCGTCATGCCAAAAGACGTTAAAATAGGGTACTTGTTGTTACCCTGTCTGGCGCTCGGCATAAAGGGGCTAAAACAAGGACTGGTCGGCTCAGAGTCAGTATACTGTGTCTGAGTGGGGTATTCTGCGGCATGGTATCTCAGTGAGCTACAACTATAAATTAGCATCAGCCCGGACTAGTACAAGCAGTCACACACACACGTGCATGCACGTCGCTATATAAGTGCAATAATCTTGGACGCGACGTTAAACCCAATTTCCAACAATCTTGGACGCGACGTTAAACCCAGTTTCACCTCACCACCTCAACTGTATTATTGAACAGGTCCTGATCACTGGCATGTCGACTACCCGAACTGTGGCGGAGACAGACAGTCCCCCATCAACATCGAAACAAGCAAAGTGGAGTTCAACCCGATTCTGACCATCTTCGACTTGAGTGAACTCGCCCAGACTGAGAACATAAACATGACGTTGGCGAATGTCAACGGCCACACAGGTGCGTGGCACAAAAGGTTTCATCCTTTAAATTCCCATCCAAACCTGGAGTTATAGTATTTCAAAACCAAAATACAACCTTTCAAACTTTTGGAAAGGAAAGTCAATGTATTTTTTTTTAAATACTAGTGAACATGCACCTTGAGGAATGTTTGGAAGGCGCTTTTCATTAAACGTTCCCTCGACCTTTGCTGCTTCAGTGGAGGTGACTATCTCGGGCAGCGCTAACATGCTGGTGTCGGGTGGGGGTCTGGAGGACAAGTACGGGGTCAAGCAGTTCCACTTCCACTGGGGTCAGAAGGACGAGCGGGGATCAGAACACGACATTGACAACAAGAGGTTCCCTATGGAGGTAAGCGAAATGGTAGATTTTTCTGAAATAATTCTAAGAATGAAAAAAGCTATTAGAATTGGTTATATAGTAGGACGACAGTTAAAGTGTGTATTTGTGGTCAACATATAATTGCTCTTTGAATTCAAATTAGGTTTGCATGCTTTTATTTTACAATTGACTTGCCTTTGCTTGTGTTTGTGACGGGTGCCACCGGTGGGGCAGGATATGCTCACCTTTTCGCGGACACCTGGTATCATTACTATTTTATAGATATAAACATATACTCATGATTAGTCGTAATCGTACAATCGACTCTGCTTTTGTGCAGATATTTCTGGTGGATATGAGAAGGGTTTTGTCGCGTATTTATTTATTTATTTATTTATAGTAGTAGTAGTAGTAGTAGTAGTAGTAGTAGTAGTAGTAGTAGTAGTAGTAGTAGTAGTAGTGCTATTTTAGTTCTCAAACTAAATACTCGAACTGAAGCCTCTTCGCAGCCAATTCCACCAGGATCCACGTTCCAGATTTCAAATAGTTTGAAATGCAAGAGACTTACAGAAAATGGATACACAAAGTATGGTTAATAAAAGCGACAACCAACATTTGCATAATCATAATATATGAAACGTCAACGCCAGAGCATATTATTAATCAGTATCGATCATCTGCCGAAACCGATTCCTTTGAGCGTAAAAGACAAAATAACAGTGAAAATGTAATAGACACCGGGTGTTCGCGAAAAGGTAAGCATCTCCTGCTCAAACTCGCAACTTAAAGCAGAATCCATTGTACGGTTTCTACTACATCAAAAACATGTGATTACGAATCACTATCAAAATAGTGATGAAACGAGGTGTATTTTTGACATATACTGATACAACCAAGCAGAAGACGAACAATGTGCAAGAAATATCTGAAGCATTAAAGTGCTAGCGCTGAGGAAAACTCTTTATGGTCACATTTTTCGTTTGATTTTAGGAAACTTTGCCATCATTTTAAGACTAAGACGATTAGTAAATGACAATAAGATAACTGACAGGGGTACACATATTTTGCGATTAACAGACTGAGTATTGAGCATAAGGGAATAGAGAAGGCGGTGCCTATGTTTAATTCTCCATCTTCTGATCATGACACCGTAGGATTCCAGGTTAAAATTGGTAACACTGTGACATCTAAGAATAGGGTGACAGTTATTTTTTCCTGTGAGTACACGTGTACAGATGTTTCGTTCCAGATGCACATTGTTTTGTACTCCACAAAGTACGCAGACTTCGACGTGGCAGTGGACAAGCCAAAGGGACTGGCTGTGCTCTCGTTTTTGTTTGAGGTGAGAATTTAACGGGTTACACGACGCGGCTGTGAGATTAGATTTGTTCACCGTATTTCCTCTAATAGACGACGTGGCGCCAGAAGACACCGGGACGCCAATAGACACCGTTCCTCCAACAGACATTGACTCTCCAACAGACGCAGGGCTTCCAGTAAATGCCAGCCCTTCCGCATCTCCAATAGACACAGGCTCTCCAAAAGACATCAGCCCTTTAATAGACCCTGGCCCTAAAATAGATGCAGGCCCTCCAATGGCTACTGGGCCGCCGAAAGATGCTGGTGTAACAGAATGGTGATAGACCCCGGCCCTCCAACAGATGCCTGTCTTCCAATAGATGCTGGCCCGAAAATTATAACCGTACCTCCAAATGATGCGGGTGTAACAGATTGTCAACAGACTCCGACCCACCTATGGAGGCCCTCCAATAGACAATGTCCCTCCAATAGACTCCGGCCCTCCTATAGACAATGGCATTCCAATAGAAAATGGCCCTCCAACAGACTCCGGCCCTCCTATAGACAATGGCCCTCCAAAAGACAATGGCCCTCCAATAGACTCCGGCCCTCTTATAGACAATGGCATTCCTATAGACAATGGCATTCCAATAGACAATTGCGATCCAATAGACTCTAGTCCTCCTATGGACAATGGCCCTCCAATAGACAATGGCCCTCCCAATAGACAATGGCCCTTCAACAGATTGACAATCCGAATAATAAATAGTCCCTAACGCTGCTTGATTAGAAGATGGGACTTTGAGAGATGCCGGGTCACCATAAACGGTGCACGGTTATACTTGCTAACATATACACGCTGGGTCGTTTATTGGAGTAGAAACGGTATGCGTATTGTAACCTGATACGGTTAAGTTTTTACATTTGCAAAGTCAGACTTTCAATTATTTAATAGTAGGACAGAATTTGACACTGACATATATACGTCTGAAAGTCTGAAAGTAAACGAAATGACATCCACTGAAATTGGAAACAATTGCCCTTTAGGTATACAAACATACCCTTTAGCAGTCTTGATGGCAGAACAGAAAGGTGATGAATTATGAAAGACGCTGATTGATTTTCCAATTCCAACATTCCAACAAGTATCAATCAATGAAGTTTATTTCGTAACACTAACCACGTGACCGTTGCTGTCATAACTGTCACCTTGAATAAGTATCTGTATGGAGTGATGCTCAGGAATTACAGGGTAAAACAGCTATATAATATGGGCAGGTGATATTTACAATAGTAACTACAGGATAAAACAGCTGTGTAGAAAGGGGGGGGGGGTATCTGCAATAGTACCCCCAGAATTAAAACAGCTGTATGGTATGGGCATGTGGTATCTACTACAGTAACTACAGGTTATACAACTCTACAGAATGAAGAGTTGATATCTACAATAGTATCCACGGTATTGAAAGACCTGTACAATATGGGCAGGCGATATTTACTACAGTAACTACAGGTTATACAACTCTACAGAATGAAGAGTTGATATCTACAACAGTAACTACAGGATAAAACATGATTGTACAGTTTGGGCTGGTGATATTTGAAATAGTAAGTACAGGGTAAAACAGCTGAAAAGTATGGGCAGGTAATAGCTTCAATAATAACTACAGGGTAAAACAGATAAATATATATGGGAGGTGTGTGAGTGAGTTAAGAATTAACGTCACATCGGCAATATCGGTGATATCTACTACAGTAACTACAGGGTAATACAGCTTATAGTATAGACAAGTGATATCTACACTAGAGACTACAGGGTAAAACAGATGTAGGGTTTGAGCAGGTGATATTTGAAATAGAAACCACAGGGTAAAACAGATGAATATATATGAGCGGTGATATCTACTAAAGTAACTCCAGGAGTAAAACAACTGTATAAGAGGGTTATATCTACAACAGTTATTATGAGGTAAAACAGCTCTGTCGCATGGGGTGGTGACATCTCCAATGCTAACTACAGTGCAAATCAGCTGTACAACATGTGGAGGTGAAATCTACCATAGTTACTACAGAGGCTAAGCAAACAGCAGTATACGGGCAGGTGATTTCTACAATATCAACTACAGGGTAACACATCCGTAAAGAAAGGGGAGATGATATCTACAATAGTAACAACAGGATTAGAACCGCTGATTAGTTATTGGGAGGCCATATCTACAACAGTAACTAAAGGGTAATACAGATCTACAGAATGGGCAGGTGATATCTACAATAATGACTACGGTATAAAACAGCTGTATAGCATTGGGAGGTGATATCTACTTCAGTAGATACAGGATAAAACAGGTGTATAGCATACGCAGGTGATATCTACTTCAGTAGGAACAAGGTAAAACAGCTGTATAGCATAGCATTTGGAGGTGATATCTACTTCAGTAGGTACAGGGTGAAACAGCTTTATAGCACGGGGAGGTGATATCTACTTCAGTAGGAACAAGGTAAACAGCTGAAGAGCATGGTGAGGTGATATCTACTTCAGTAGGTACAGGATAAAACAGCTGTATAGAATGCGGAGATGATTTTTACTTCAGTAGATACAGGATAAAACAGGTGTATAGCATACGCAGGTGATATCTACTTCAGTAGGAACAAGGTAAAACAGCTGTATAGCATAGCATTTGGAGGTGATATCTACTTCAGTAGGTACAGGGTGAAACAGCTTTATAGCACGGGGAGGTGATATCTACTTCAGTAGGAACAAGGTAAACAGCTGAAGAGCATGGTGAGGTGATATCTACTTCAGTAGGTACAGGATAAAACAGCTGTATAGAATGCGGAGATGATTTTTACTTCAGTATATACAGGATAAAACAGGTGTATAGCATACGCAGGTGATATCTACTTCAGTAGGAACAAGGTAAAACAGCTGTATAGCATAGCATTTGGAGGTGATATCTACTTCAGTAAGTACAGGGTGAAACAGCTTTATAGCACGGGAAGGTGATATCTACTTCAGTAGGAACAAGGTAAACAGCTGAAGAGCATGGTGAGGTGATATCTACTTCAGTAGGTACAGGATAAAACAGCTGTATAGAATGCGGAGATGATTTTTACTTAAGTATATTGAGGATAAAACAGGTGTATAGCATACGCAGGTGATATCTACTTCAGTAGGAACAAGGTAAAACAGCTGTATAGCATAGCATTTGGAGGTGATATCTACTTCAGTAGGAACAGGGTAAAACAGCTGTATAGCATCGGGGGGTGATGGCCACAGTAATAACTTCAGAGTAAAACAGCTGTATAACAAAGGTGATATCTACAATAGTAACTGGAGGACGAAACATATGTATTGCCTTGGGAGGTGACATCTGTTGCTATATAGAATTTGGAGGTGATTGGTACCATGGTAACTATGGTAGCGGTGTAGCATGGGAAAGTGCATTTGTCAGTAGAAACGTTTATGTAAAACAGGTGTACATGGGGAGGGGTATCTACCATGATAGTAAATACAGGGTACAACGGCCCTTTGTAATGATGAGGTGATATATACTACAATAACTGCCGAGCTGTATGGGAAGTGACATCTATTATAGCAACTACATGGTAAAACAGCTGTGTAACATGGGGAAGTGCATTTTTCAATAGAACTACTGTGTATAGACATGATAGAATGTTGAAGTATGGAAATCGTACTAAACTGACGTCCAAAAGAAACTTTACCAACTTAAAATATAAATTTCAGACAAAGTATTTTTTTTTTCGATGAAGTCTATCTAAAACACATAACCTAAATACAACAATAGTGTATGCAGAAAATGTTAATCGTCGGTTACATGTTTGCGAGATAACACGCGAAAAAGTGAAAAACACGTGCACCACGGACAACTACAAATGCACGTGCGGGTAAGGGTATACAACGATTGCAACGGCAAGTCAGACACCCACAGTGATAAAAAAACACAAAAGAAATGCCACGACTCACAGTCGAACAACGTGAACGAGCCTTGGGTATGGTACAGATGGGAGCCACCCACGCCCATATTGCACGAACCTTCGGTTGCTCCCGTGTTGCCGTTACCAACTTGATGCAACGTTACAGACAGACAGGGCGGACCGCTGAAAGGCCAAGAACAGGGTGACCACGCCCAATGATGACCGGTACTTGCGTACCTTGCACCTCCGAAATCGCTTCCTGACAGTGACGTCATCGGCGACAAATGCCTTAGGTCACAGGGTTAGTCGACAGACAGTGGCCAGGAGACTCAGGGCTTAGGGCTTTTAGACCATACAGAGGACAGCTTTTGACAGCGCAACATCGTCGTCTGCGAATGAGATGGGCCCGGACTGTACGACGTTGGCAACGACGTGACTGGCAGAGGGTTGTCTTCACTGACGAAAGTCGATTCTGTATGTCTAGGGATAATGGAAGACAACGTGTTTACCGCCGAAGGGGTGAACGAACGGCGGCGTGTTGCGTGCAGGAGGTCGTACCATATGGTGGAAGGAGCGTCATGGTGTGGGGAGGGATCTGTGGGCAGGAGAGGACACCGCTGGTCATCGTTGACGGAAACTTGACAGCTCAGCGTTACATGGATAACATTCTTCGTCCAGTTGTCCTACCATTTCTCCAACAGCAGCCACGTGGTGTCATTTATCAGCATGACAACGCTAGAGCCCATACAGCCAGAATTGTCACTAACTTCCTCTCAGCCAACAACATCAACGTCCTGCTGTGGCCTGCACGCTCACCCGAAATGTCCCCCAAAGAACACCTCTGGGACTTGATGGATCGTCGTGTTCGACAACGACCACACTCTCCAGCCAACCGGCAAGAACTGATCTTGGCCCTCTAAGAAGAATGGCGTCAAATCCCACGTGACCTCATCAGACGACTGACTTTTTCTGTGCGTCGAAGAGTTTTTGCGTGTATTTAGGCATTTGGTGGTCACACACGCTACTAATGACTTGTTATTGAACGTGAGCGATTGTTTATGTACTCTGCCTATTGTCCCTGATTCTGAAAGCTCGAGTTTTGTACCACACCCAACTTTGGGGGGCTCTGACGTCATTCTCGGTCGCGGTATGATAGTCATTTTCAGTGTTGATTATGTTGATATATTGATCTTCTCAATACACCTTACTTTATGCATGTATGTTTTGTTGTTTTTGAGCAAGAGTGATTTCAAACTCTGGTAAAGTTTCTTTTGGACGTCAGTTTATTTTATGGATGTAACTATTATTATCGTCATAATAGTTATTTGTCTCTTAAAGATAATCAATTGGTCATATAATGTTTCAGGTAGGCGAAACCAATGCCAACTTTCAACCACTACTGTCACACTTCGACAAGATCCAGCACAGCGGTAGGTGGCGTTGCACGATCCTTCGCACGATATATGTACAAGCGTACATGCACAGAATATAGTGTCGCACGTTGGGACCGACAATATTGTCCTTTCAAGGGGACACTGCTTCAAGACTATTTCTGTGGAGAGAAGAAACGAACTGTTTTATTTTCTTTTACAACACGTGTTCCCGCAAGCCTGATGCAAAAATATATTTCCCAGTATTCTTTTGAACATATAATATGTTTTTGACAAACATGTCTGACACCCGTGGCATCCTGACTATCAACAACATAGTGATAGTATTTAGTTTATGTGGCCTTATGAAATTACATATTGCTAATCGGTCACACAGTTGACTTTGTGTCATCATTAATTTGACATTTTGTGATACTAGGCTTAAGTTCGCTCATTTGGTTGATTGTGTGTCATCGTGCCCCGACGGCGTCGAACGTTGCTTATGATATAAACCACTTCTATGTCTGGCCAATACTAGATTATATACCGGCCACCGCTTTATAGTTAGAGCACTGCTGACAGTAGCTTTTATCTATTCAAACACATTAGCGCCGGGTTCTCACACCAAATACCGTTGACAACGTATGTAAGTGGATCGAAATTGCAATCTTCGAATTGTAGCCTCATTGGTGAAGAGACATTTTACATCCGTTTACTGAGAATCATGGAAAAATGCTGATAACAGTGATTTCAGATTTTCTTATAATTAGGATAGAAAACTTCCCCTGGGGTCCTTATGAGATCTAATACCCTCGTCCAAGAGGTGAAACCTCGGATTCCTCACTTCTCGGTTTTACCCGTCTGTCACACGTGTTCTATGCTACGCTGAACATCCAGCCTTTATGTCTATGTCTATGTCTATGTCTTCAACACAACATCTCATACTACAGGTAACGAGACGTCTATTCCGACATTCTCCACAAAGTCTCTACTTCCGGCCAACAGCGCGTACTACTTCCGATACGAGGGGAGTCTGACCACGCCCCCATGTTACGAGAGCGTAGTGTGGAGCATCTTCGCAACCCGCATCGTCGTGTCAGAGCAGCAGGTACTTCCAACTAAAGATATTAATGATGTCGTACAATCTCAGCAAAAACATTCCCCTTACTAACTACAGACCACTTCCGGGATCTAGTGAATAGAGCGTCTCCCCGAAGAGCGGAAGGTCGGAGCTTCGATCCCCGTCCGCGCCATACCAAAAAGACGTTAAAATATAGTACTAGTTGTAATAGCAATCAACCCGAGAAACATTTTTAATCTCTATGCAATCTTAGGGCTATATACTCTTAGGGTTAATATCTAACACTTATTCAGTCGTTGGCCAAGGAGGCCCAGTTTGGCTTATGGTATCAGCTAGCTAACATGCTTGTCTTTCCCTCTTGCAGATGAACCAGTTCAGAAGCATCAAAAGGAACAAGGAGCCGGAGGGGGAGGAGAATCTGGTGGACGACTTCAGGCCACTCCAGAAGCTCAACAACCGGAAGTTGTATACCAACAGCATCGATTTCACTTCCGGTCAAAGCATGGTTACTGTATCGCATGCTATCGCCTTGCTATCTGTGATACTGAGTATTGCATTCTAAACTGACGTTATGTTCTAACCTTACTTACATCTAACATTGGCACTGATGCTAGTGGTTCGTTATTTTGTCTTGCAAGGAAATGATAACTGTGGCAACAACCGTCACGTGACTTATTTGAGAGTCTTTTAATGACTAATTAAGTCTAATTAAAGGTACAACACACAAGAACATTGGTCCAAAGTTAGGGACAGTCCGCTTGTATTAGGGAAGGGGGGGCAACAATTAGTTATTTCAGTAAATCAAATGCGAATAACGAAATATTTTGTTACATGAATTTTTTTTTTCACTTTTGGGGGGTTAAAAACCGACGCAAATTCTCTTGTTTTGTTTTTAAGACTTAAAAGTAACAGTGTTGATGAATGTTACTCTATTGGCCCGGCCACAACAAAGTCAATAGAGTAACATTCATCAACACTGTTACTTTCAAGTATCGCATGGTTCATTGTTATTACAGCCTATCTGAGACGGCGATACCCCAACGTATCTAAATCTATAAGTTTAAAGACACTACCATTCCAAATAACCTCCTGCAGGCTAGGAATTATAATGCATAAGTGTTTTCGTTGCATCCTATTCATCATTTGGAGTGTTTCTTTCAGGAAGTTTATCATACACTGCATCGCAGTGAGATTCCCTGAGGGCCCGGCCCCGTTAATCCAGAATTTGTGCTCGGTCAGCTTATATACGTAACAAGTTACATTACTTCCTTCCCATTTTTCGCTAAACCGGAAATTCGATGATCACAACAATTTAGTGGAAAAGCTACTGTCCGGGTTAACGAGGTTTCACTGAATATGCAGTATACAGAACGACCACACGTTTCATTTGACATTTTAAAAGACATTAAATGTGTACATATTTGGCCAACTCCTGTAGAAAGCGTCGCGTAGAGCACGACTTCAGACCAGCATGCATAATAAGAACGGTGTGTTTATCTGTCTCAGTTTCTAAATTTCTCCAGTGCTTACTTTGCTCTTGAAATGAGTTTTGTGTTGATGTGCCACCAGTCCACAGCATGGCATCACTTGTCCAAAGCATGTCATCACATATCCACGGCATGTCATCACATATCCACAGCATTGTATGACAAGTCCACAGTATGACATCACATGTCCACTTGTCCACAGTATGACATCACATATCAACAGAAGATTATCTGGTCCAATCAGAAAACAGAATACCACATATCCTAAGCACGTCACACCATGCCCACGGCAGTACACACAATGCCCACAACAATGCTTCACATGCCCACAGAACAATACCTAAAGTACACATGTCTACATCCGAATACCACATATACACAGCACGACACACCATGCCCACGGCAGTTCACACAATGCCCACAACAATGCTTCACATGCCCACAGAACAATACCTAATGTACACATGTCTACATCAGAATACCACATATACACAGCAGGAGATACCATACCCACGGCAGTTCACACAATGCCCACAACAATGCTTCACATGCCCACAGAACAATACCTAATGTACACATGTCTATATCAGAATACCACATATACACAGCAGGAGATACCATACCCACAGCAGTACACACAATGCCCACAACAATGCTTCACATGCCCACAGAACAATACCTAATGTACACATGTCTACATCAGAATACCACATATACACAGCAGGAGATACCATACCCACGGCAGTACACACAATGCCCACAACAATGCTTCACATGCCCCCCAGAACAATACCTAATGTACACATGTCTACATCAGAATACCACATATACACAGCAGGAGATACCATACCCACAGCAGTACACACCATGCCCACAACAATGCTTCACATGCCCACGGAACAATACCTAATGTACACATGTCTACATCAGAATACCACATATACACAGCAGGAGATACCATACCCACAGCAGTACACACAATGCCCACAACAATGCTTCACATGCCCACGGGACAATACCTAATGTACACATGTCTACATCAGAATACCACATATACACAGCACGTCACACCATGCCCACAGAAGTACACACCATGCCCACAGGACAATACATCACATGTCCACAGGACAATACCTAATGTACACAAGTCTACACTAGAATACCACACATCTACAGTAGAAAGCACCAGGCCCACAGCAGTGCATCATGCACTGCAATCTACTACACATACTTCTGGAATCTGCCATGTGCCTTGTTTTTTCGTATGTTTCATGAAGAGAAAATATTCTGTATTGTAACCAACACCATGCAAAGTGCTACACTGTTTTACTGTTTTTTGTACATTTAATTTTCCTTTGTATTACATCAAATGTTCTTTGAACTGTTTTTCCTTTTGTGATAGATCTGAATTCTAGATATTTCATTATTGTGTGGATGTTTGTAGCCGCTTGAAAATGTTTTTTGTATGTTTCTTCAGTATATCCTGACTTGTTCCTCATGCTCATCTACAGGTATGTATATGAAGGGTCAGTTAGCGTTGCAATATCCAGCGGTGCTCATCGCGCAGCAATGCAGTAATACGTAGCCTGATGCCGCTATTGTGGCGCTATAGTGGCGCCATGGTGCTGCTATGACGCTGCTATTGTGCTGTTGTAATGTCGCCATGGTGTCGCTATGGTGCCGCTACGATGCCGCTGTGATGTCGCTATAGTGCCGCTATGGTGTCGCTATGGTACCGCTTGGATGTCGCTTTGGTGACGCTATGGTTCCAATGTGGAGCCGCTATGGTATCGCTATGGTGTCACTATGATGTCGCTGTGATGTCGCGTTGATTGTATTGCGACACTTATTATCATTATTATCAGATGGTTATCTCGTTCATGGCAATCACATATGTTTCTCAATTAAAGAAGACACATACCTTGTTTACCTTTACCTGTGATACAGACAATTTTTCTAAGGCAATAGACATCTGTTCAGACATGATTTGTCGTTTATGTATTTTTTACTCTCACTATTCACGGAGTTAATAGCAAGCAATTGTCATATATGTGCTAATCTAATAATAATAAACTAATAATAAATTAAAATAATCTGTGATTGTGTTGTAAACTGGAAAATCGTCGTCATTGCCAACAAACACTAACGAAGCGCGATTCTATATATGGGGCAAGGATGTCAGTAGTCCAAGGCGACGAATGTCGCTGTATTTGCTCCTTTGGGGGCGGATTTGAATATCGTGTTCGCCCTGATTATATGTTTCTAGGTTTGTCAGCACCATTCAGTACTCGTAAGTTTCAAATAGTGGTAAATATCTTAGACCTGCATTATTGTCCGCTTTCCACACAAGCTTACATGCCGTGACATAACTGATATACCGTTCACAACAATGTTAAACCTATCTACTTTAATCTAACGTTCGTCTTTATTGCCTGCGATGAATAATGCTTTTCTTGTCTCTTCAGTTTTCACAAATATACCAAAAGAATATAGCATTGATGTGAACAGGAGTTATGTCCCTTCTCTGCTAGTGGTATACCGTATGTTATCTGCAACCTTTTTTGTGATAATAAACAATTCTCAACTAAAGATTTGTTTCTAGTATAATTTGTGTGACTAACTGCCCAGCCTGTTACACTTCTCTGTAAATGACTGTCAGTTGAAGATATAGTAAAGAGAGATAAGGATGGTGCTGCCACTTCCCAAAGGTGACGTGAGGTAAAATGGTGTCCAAGATTATTGCACTTAGATAGCGACGTGCATGGACGTGCATGGACTAATGCCGATTTTCAGTGCTAGCCTACTGAGATACCATGCAGCAGTTTAACATGAACACCCCACTCAGACACAGTATACTGACTCCGAGCCGACCAGTTCTTGTTTTAGCACCTTAATACCGAGCGCCAGACAGGGTAACAACAAGTACCATCTTTTAACGTAGTTTTGGTATCACACGGCTCTAGGCCACGGAGACGGTCTCCACTTCCCAAACAAAGCAGTGGTGACAAATGGGTACAGGTATTTATATCACAAAGGTGTTGAGACATGATTTAAAGGAAAATCACGGATTGATACACTGTGAATAGATTAAACTCGAATAAACTAAGAGAGTCATTAGCACTATTATGTTTATACATGTAGTGAACGTTGATTTCTGACGATTGAAGCGCTCGTAAAATAGAGTGACATCCTTAGATCAAAACAGTCCCAGCGCTTTACACTTTCGTCATGGTCCCGATATAAAGAGCTCCGCTGCGAGGGGCTTGTTTGCAGTTACAGATACCGAGACAGACTAACTCATTCGAGACGCTTCGCGAGATAACAGTTACAAGAAGAGTGGCTGTGAGAGCGAGGCGATCGCTACTCGTCTGTCTTGCGACTTATCCGTCGGAAAACAGAAACTATTCTGCCTGCAACCAACACTGTCCTGGAGTAAAAAAAGGAACAAAATGAATGCATCTTTATTCTCTTAATACAAAAATATTGTACAGAATATAATTTGAAGTTCCTAAAGTCCTGAAAACATACGAAAAAGAAATAATATTCTACGTACGCATCAGAAAGCTATGACATTAACTTAACACCAAGAAAGAATTCCATTTCTGAAAGCTTTTGATTTTCTACTTTCGATGTCTTCAGTGTTTGAGTGCTGCTAAACACATTTTATGCAACGTTTTGGTTTCCGATTAACCACGATTCAATCGGAAATCACTTAGGAGCTTGAAAATCAATCAATCCAAATAGTAATGCTTTGGCATTTGAGGTGGGTGTGAATATATTGAGTTAGTTGATATCACACATAAGTGTTCCAATTGCCTCCATTTTCCATGTTGTCGTTACCTTCGGACACAACGCTTGGTTTTGAAATGTCACTGTCTCTTTTCTTTATTGTCACTAATATTCAAACGGTGAAATGCGACCTCTAATTGCGTGCACACAAACGATGTGCATAAACAGTTAGTTATTTTTGACCGATCACAGATGCGTTGAAGCGCAAGTTTTACCCCATGAAAGACCGCAATCTTGCTGAAGAAAGTATGTTCGTCAGTCTGGACATTATCATGATGATCAGTTTCCACTGCAGGTGTTAATATACTACTACAGTTTTGATAGGGATATTTTTTATCGCCCATGATACACACATCTGTTTCTCATATGTCAAGTTGCTATTGTTACGAGATCTCTCGTCGCGAATACTATTACTGATACAACGGATCAGTGAGGATTCTGCTTTGTTTTCTGGGCTACATCGTGGGTACACAAGCCAAGCTGCCTTTTAGGTTCTGGTTAAATTCCCATCCCTATCTCATCACTATCCCATTCTTATCTCAACCCATCCCAATATCATCTTGATCCATTCCCTGTCCTATCCCATCCTTATCTCATCGCTATTCCACCCTTACATATCCCATTCCTGTATCATCCCTATCCCTATCCCATCGCCATCCTATGCCATCCCTGTCCCCTTCTTATCTCATCCATACCCCATCCCTTCCCGTCCCTAACTCACCCTAACTATCCCATGCCTCTCTCAACCCTATCCTATCCCATTTCATCCAATCCCATAGCTTCCCATTCCTATCTCATCCATATCCTATCCATATCTATATCCTATACCTATCTCATCCCTATCCTATCCCTATCCCATCCCGATCCTCTCACATCCATATCCTACTCAATCGACATCCTGTCCCCTTCCATCCCATCCCAACCAATCCAATCCCATTCAATCCCTATCATATCCCATCCCATCGAAACCAATCCCATCCAATCCCTATCATATCCCATCCCATTCCTATCCTTTTTCTGTCCCATCCCTATCCTATCCCATCCCATTCCATTCCTATCTATCCCGTCCCAACCATATCCTATTCAATCCACATCCAATCCCATCCCATCCAATACCTATCTCATCCCTACCCATCGTCATCCTATCCAATACCTATCCCATTCCATCCCATCCCTATCTCATCCCCATCCCATCCCTATCCAATCTCTATCCCATCCCTATCTCATCCCTATCCAAACCCTATCCTATCCCTATCCTATCCCTATCCAATCCCTTTCCAATCCCTATCTCATCCCTACCCATCGTCATCCTATTCAATACCTATCTCATCGCAATCCCTATCCCTATCCAATCCTTTTCTCATCCAAATCCCATGCCTATCCCATCCCTACGTCATCCCTATCTCATCCCTATCCCATTAATCTCCCATACCTATCCCATCCTATCCAATCACATCACATCCCTATCCCTATGCCATTCCTAGCCTGTCCAATCCAATCCATATCCAAGGATAGTTTAGACCTTTATATTCTGGTTACATTCCCGTCCCTATCTCAACTCTATCTCATCCATATCCAATCTCTTTCTCATCCCTATCCCATCAGTATCTCATCCATATCACTTCACTACTACATCCCTATCCAATTGCTATCCCATCCAATTCCTATCTCATGCAACTCTAATCCCCATCCTATCCAATATCATCCCCATATCTTTCCCATGCCTATCTCATCCATATCCCATCCCTATCTCATCCCCACACCATCCCTCTCCCCTCCCTACCTATCTCTATCCTATCCCATCCCTATCCTATCACTATTCTATCCCATCTCTATCCCATCCCTATTTCATCCCTATCCTCTCCCATCAAATTACTATCCTATTCAATCTCATCCATTTCCTATCCCATCCACATCTCATCCCATCCCATCTTTATCCCATACCTATCCTTTTCCTATTACATCACTATCCCATTCCTATACAAACAACTGTCTCATCACTATCCCACCCCTATCCATCAACATCCCATCCCTATCTCATCCCTATCTCATCCATATCCAATCCCTATCCCATCAACTATCCCTTTCATATCTCATCCCTAACCATCCACTATCCCAAACCTATCTCATCCCTATCCCATCCCTATCATCAACTATCTCCTCCCTATCCCATAATTATCCAATCCACTATCTCATCCCTATCCCATCCATATCTCCTCCTTATCCCATCCTTATCCAATCCATTATCTCATCCCTATATCATCCCTATCCCATCCCTGTCCCATCCCTATTTCATCCCTATCCGATCCACTGTCCCATTCTTATCTCATCTTAATCCCATCCCTATCCCATCCCTTTTTATCCCTATTCCATCCCTATCCAATATCTATCTCATCCCAATCCAATCCCTATCTCATCCCTATCCCATCCCATCCCACCCCTATCACATCCCTATCCTATCCCTATCTCATCCCTATCCCATCCCTTTTTCCCACCCTTTTCCCACAACTAGCCCATCCGTATCCCACCCCTATGCCATCCACTATCCCATCCCTATCCCATCCCTACCCCATCCACTATCCCATGCCTATATCATCCCTTTCACATCCCTATCCAATCCCTATCTCATCTCTATCCATTCCCTTTCTCAACACTTTCTAATCCTTGTCTCATCCCTACCCATCCACTATTCAATCCCTATCTCATCTCTATCCATTCCCTTTCTCAACACTTTCTAATCCCTGTCTCATCCCTACCTATCCACTATCCAATCCCTATCTCTTCAATACCCCATCCAATATCCCATGGGTGTCTTACCCCTATCCCATCCCTGTTTACATCCTTATCCCACACCTATCCCATCCATATCCCATCCCTATGCCATCCACTATCCCATCCCTATCTCATCCCTACCCCATCCACTATCCCATGCCTATCTCATCCATTTCATACCACTATCCAATCCCTATCTCATCTCTATCCATTCCCTGTCTCAACCCTTTCTTATACCTATCTCATCCCTACCCCATCCACTATCCCATGCCTATCTCATCCCTTTTAACATCCCTATCCAATCTCTATCTCATCTCTATCCATTCCCTTTCTCAACCCTTTCTTATCCATGTCTCATCCCTACCCATCCACTATACAATCCCTATCTCACACCTATCCATTCCCTTTCTCAACACTTTCTAATTCCTGTCTCATCCCTACCCATCCACTATTCAATCCCTATCTCACACCTATCCATTCCCTTTCTCAACACTTTCTAATCCCTGTCTCATCCCTACCCATCCACTATCCAATCCCTATCTCTTCAATACCCCATCCAATATCCCATGGCTGTCTTACCCCTATCCCATCCCTTTTTACATCCTTATCCCACACCTATCCCATCCATATCCCATCCCTAAGCCATCCACTATCCCATCCCTATCTCATCCCTACCCCATCCACTATCCCATGCCTATCTCATCCCTATCCAGCCCCTATATCATGCCTACCCTAAACCATTTCATCACTATCTCATCCCTATCCTATCCCATCCCATCAATATCCCATTCTTATCCTATCCCATCCCTATTCCATCCTTATCACAGCCATATCCTATCCCTATCCCATCCCTACCCATCTCCATCGTATCCCATCCTTACCCCATCCCCATCCTATCCCATCCTTATTTCATCCCTATCTCTTTAACATCCCTATCCCATTCCTATCCTATCCCATCCCATCCTTATCCAATCGCATCCATATCCATACCCCTATCCCATCCCTATCCAGTCCCTATCTCATGCCTA